GGGAGGGTAGAGGGAGAGTGGGTAGGAAAGAGGGAACCGATTACAAGGAACTTTTTGTGACCTCCTCCCTGGGGGATGGGTGGTTTCCTGACTCTCACAGACACCAAGGTTTTGATTTGGGGGAGGAGTTGAGCGGGGTCTATCTGAAGCGCTTCCATCCTAAAGCCATAATAAAAATGTCCTTCCAATGTTCCTCACCCAAATACAGATTCAAGTCAAACTATATACTAAGTAGGTTTCCCCCTTGTCCCCCCCCACTTCTTTAAGTAGATTCCCCATCTACTTTATCTTTTTTTAAAATTTAATGACTGACTGTGCATGAGCCTGTGGTTTGAATTGCTTTTAGCGTAAGTCATTGGTAAACATTACATTTAAAGAGCTAATGTTTAAAGCTAGCTCTCATGCCAATTTAATTCATTGTGAGAACTAAACCCTTTTTTCAGAGTTGGGGGATTAATGCTCATGACAGCAACGAATGTACAAATGTGCTTTACACAATTGATGTATGTATGGATTGTGATAAGACTTGTATGAGCCCCCAATAAAATGATTTTAAAAAAAAGGAATATAGACCAAAGCAGAATCTCTGTGAGTGGGCCCAATTCTCTTCCAATCTTAGTGAATAAGTTGAATCCAAGCTCAACTAATGTCCTGGTTGCTCAGCCATCTAAGGAAAACAAGGCAATTTGTTCGAAACATTGTCCCCTAACTTCAAAGGCTGTGCTTGAATACACTGTTCTTGATCTTTCTGCCCTTGCCAACAAGCACGTCAAATCCAAGCCTTGGTAAAAATGAACCCTTGACAGGACACTCCTAATTATATTCTACTGCCAGGCTCTGACTTCTTAATTGTCAAATCTATATTTGGAAGTGTATCTGACTGCTTCTCCTGCCACTTGCTATATATAGTTTATTCCACCTGAAGGATTTTTAAAAGTAATTTTTATGGTAAATTAAGTTAACAATTACATTTCAGATGATCAGTTTTCATTCAATGATTTAAAGAATGTATTAAATTCCTTAGTAGTTTATCCTAGCCCTGATCTTTTCATTTATTTTCACCACTTGTTGATTATTATCTTCTCCTCCACCCACATTAATACCTGTTAACCCTCCATCTTCCTACTTTCACCCTCTCCCACTTGGTAACCACCAAAATCTGTTTCTTCCCTTTGATAGGAAAGTCTTGGCTTTTGTTTTCCTTTAAACAGTGGCTTCATACAACATTTGTTCTTTGGGGATTGACTAATTTCACTCACAAGGTTGATCCATGCCATGAAGCATTTTGTGATATAATCACTGAATTTTAGCAATGCACAATATTCCATTGTGTGTATGTACCGAAGTTCCTTTATCCATATTTCTACTGATGGCCATTTAGATTGTTTCCATCTTCTTGATATTGTGAACAGTGCTGTTGTGAACATGGGTGTACATATGTATATGCCTGCTATAACTTTTACTTCTTTAGGGTATGTACCAAGCAGAGGGATTGCTGGGAGATGTGAAATTTCTATTTCCAGTTATTTGAGGTAGCCATATAGCTTTCCACAGTGATCATGCATATTTATAGTACCACCAACAGTATATGAGGTTCCCCAACACTTCACACTTTCTCCAGTATTTATTATTTTCTTTTGAATTTGGCTGTCATTGTCAGTGTCAGCATATATGTTGTGATTCACATCTCCCAGATTTCTAGTGATCATGACTATTTCTTCATATGTTAGTTGGTATTTCAATGTCATCTTTGGTGAACTGTTCATGTCCTTTGCCCATTTTTAAATTGAGTTAGTCTTCTTTTCTTTGTTAAGGTCTTTCAGTTTTCCATAGATTGTAGCCTAATCCCTGTCCACGGAATCATCACCAACATTTCCCCCATTCTGTGGGCTTGCTTTCTAATCTTTTGATGCATATTTTATGTAAACCTGTGTGTTATTTTTATTAGGTTTCAGTCATCTATTTTGTCTTCTACTGTTTGTTTTCTACATTGCATTTTATAGTGTTCCTATTCCCTACAATAGAACCCTTAAGTTTGTCCCTCTTTTCTCCTTAATGATTTTTATAGCTCTAGGATTTACATTTCAGTTTTTGATTCATCTTGAGTTCATTTTGTGGATGGGCTAATGTATGGATCTATTTAATTCTTCTGTAGATGGAGATCCAATTTTGTCAGCATAGTTTGTTGAAGAGACTATTTCTTTCTCATTAATGTCTTTGGGCCTTTTATTGAAGATCAGTTGTCTGTAGGGGATTGATTTATTTCTGAGTCCTGTATTCTGTTCCATTGGTCTATCATTCTACCAATACTATGCTGTTTTAACTACTGTGGCTGTGCAATAGTTTTTGAAGTCAGGAAGTGAGAGGTCTGCTATTTTATTCTTCTTAAAGGCTGAGCATGATTGTGGGATAAGAGGAAAATAAAAGGAAATAGAGGAAAGAACTAGGAGGCAAGGGCATTTATACAGGTTTAAATACAGGCATGTAGATATGTAAATATATTTATATAGGATGATGGGAAATAGATCTACAGGTTTAGTATTAAGGCAGCAGATGGTCATTGGATCTCCAGTCAAGTACTTACTCAATGCAAGAATACTTTGTTCTATTAAATTGGCATTCCATGATGCACACCTTCCTGGCACGATTGCTGAAGACAAATGGGTGCGTAAGCAAATGTGGTGAAGAAAGCTGATGGTGCCCAGCTATCAAAAGATATAGCATCTGGGGTCTTAAATGCTTGCAGGTAAACAAGCGGCCATCTAGCTCAGAAGCAACAAAGTCCACAGAGAAGAAGCACATGAGCCTGTGCGAACACAACGTCCTGAAGGGAACAGGCAGCAGACACCAAATAACAAAAACCATCATTGTGTGACCACCTTCCACGCATAAACGCTGAAGATGAATGTGTGCATAAGTAAGTGTGGTGAAGAAAGCTGATGGTGCCCAGCTATCAAAAGATATAGCATCTAGGGTCTTAAGGGCTTGCAGGTAAACAAACAGCCATCTAGTTCAGAAGCAACAAAGCCCACATGGAAGAAGCACACCAGCCTGTGTGACCACAAGGTGTTGAAGGGATCGGGCATCAGGCATCAAGGAACAAAAAAATCATATCATAGTGAATGAGGCGGGGAGTGCAGAGTGGAGACCCAAAGCCCATCTGTAGGTAATGGGACATCCCCTTACACAAGGATTGCGGGGAGGAGATGAGCCAGTCAGGGTGCAGTTTAGCAACAATGAAACATACAACTTTCCTCTAATTTTTAATTGCTTCCTCCCCCTTTCTCTCCCACTATCAGGATTCCAAGTCTACCTTACAAATCTGGCTAGACCTGAGGATGTACACTGGTACAGAAAGGAACTGGAAAAAAATCAATCAGTTAAAGGCAATCTAGGAAAATTCCATCCCTGCTGACCTTTCTTCCCAAGCTACATCATAAAAGGGGACTCCAGTTCAACTTGCACATTCAGACTGCATCTGTCCTTGTGGATACCTTAATTCTTGGTGCCTTGATCTAAGTGAGACACAGATAAATCTGAAGTCATTCAAAGCAGAGTGAATAGGTCGTTAAAGAAAGCTGAAAGGAATGGAGATATCTAACTCCTGACTTGACATAACTGGAAGAATAAAATGTGAAAGAGAAATTTGACTTTTTGTGTGGCACCAGGGTTTGCTATACAACAATGGGTAGCGACTATAGAGAGGAAGTTTATTAAAATGTAAAAATAGGTATCTTATGGGTAGTGAGACCTCAGTTGCTGGAGGATTTGTGAAAAATCAGACAGCATCATCTTGAGTGTCGGGTGGGGTATAAAAATATTATGGCTTGACTGGGAGACATTGTGGTACTGTCTGTTCCTGAAATATTATGATTAGATGACTGAGATAAATAGCACAAGGACAGATCACAGAGGTGAATACACAGTACTTCCCACAGAGCAAGGATTCCAGAATGTTTGTTCTTCTACTGGGCGTCTTTACTCTGCTCTGCTCATCTGAGGGTAAGTCCTAAAGACAGAGGGGCAGGTGGTATGTCGCTGGATGGTTATATGCTGAAGGAGGGGAAGTTTCCAAAACTGATCCTTGGAAGATGTGTTTAAACTTATGACAAGGAATTTTTTTTTCTTCTTTCCACAGGCAAATTGGTGTTCTCAAGAACAGGTATGACTATGGCTCATCCAAAGTCCTTGGTGGATAAGTCATTTGTGACAGGTTGAGAAGTTAATTACCTAAGGAGCTGTAATTAATTCTTACATAGAATCCTGAAAGTTTTACATTCTAGTGTAATGTGTTTCTGGGACTAGGGAGGCTAAAATCCAATTCGTTGTTCCCTTTTCCCCATTATTGAGCAAAATCACCAGAGTAGATACAGGATTCGTTATCTGAAGTTTATGAGTACATTTTACAGGAACCTAGACAACTACCTGAAATGCTACTCAATACTTGATTTATGCATATACAGTTTATCTTTTACCAGATATTCAAAATGTAAGTGACCCAGGAATGCTTAAGAATTATTAGACAATAGCAACCCCCAATCCCAGAGGAGCCATCCCCTGACTTCATACTCTAAACATTTCTTTCTGTGTCTAGAAGCAACTTCAATAGCATGCTATAATTGTGAAAGATTTCATCTTGGATTTTGCTATGATGGAATGAAGACCTGCTACCTGAAATACCAACAGCGTTGTGCCATTGAGAACATTTACGTACTTACACCAAAAGGTAGTGAGAGAGTAAAGTGTGTCTGAGAAATAACTTCTGCTTCCCCTTAGAGACAGGTACTTTGATGGTGTAGTGTGTTATGTATTGGGCTGCTAACCTTAAGGTCAGAAGTTCAAAACTACCAGCTGCTCCAATAAAGAAAGATGATGCCTCCTAGTCCTATAAAGATCTACAGTCTCAGAAACCCACAGGGGCAATTTTACTTTGTCCTGTAGGGTTGCTATGAGTCAGAGTTGACTCACTGGCAATGAGTTTGGTTTTGATTTTCCTCTTGAAGGTAGTGGCGTTTTTCTGCCCTCTGAGTGAGTGTGGATAGATAGTCATGCAGAAGGGATGGCAACACAAACTATTTAAGATGGGCTTGGGTGTAGGAGAGGTTGATGTCCTTGATCAGTTAGGGAATAAAGGGCAGCAATTAGTAGACTCAGAACTGTAGTGTATTTGGGTTTGGAGAAAGGTAAATGAGAATCTGAAGAGAGTTTATTGCTAGGCAGATTGTAGGAAAGAGGAAAGTCATTACATCTATTTCTTCCCTCTCTTTCACTTCCTCAGGGGAGACGAAGTATTTTTATTCAAAGCTGTCATGCATGTACAACTGTGATGACATCAACTTCTTGGATTATGAAAAGAAAACAGAGCTAATCTGTTGCAAACACAGTAACTATTGCAACATCCCCACTGGGAACTAGCTTTACACTTTTCTAGGGTTTTGGATGATTCTTCAAACCATCACCCCCTTTATTTCTTGGAGCCTGGAGCCTCTGGTCCTCTTCTCACCAGTGGTGTGGGTTAGGATGCCAGTTGGTAGTGGAAAAGAGAAGTGATCATAAAGAGAAACAGTGTTTCCAATGGTGGAGCACAAGACTGAATCTTTGCAAGTTTTTATTTTGCTCACATTTGGCAGAGAATTCTGTGATACACTCTATCCACCTAAACCTAATTCTTGGGATTTTCTTGTTTGAATTGGTCCTGAAATCTGTCGATATCCTTTTGCCCATGGATTCTGGATATGGAGGATGATTAATCTCTGCAATCTCAATTTTCTGGCATCATGAGTGAAGTCTTCCACTGGTAGAACTCTTGGAGAAATCTTACACCAGAAAAACATAAACAAACAAGCAACAACAACAAAAAGCCTGAAGAAGCATAAGAATGAGGTGTGAAGAAGAATTCCAAGGGTTTTTCTTTTGTATATACACAAACTTCAGAGACAATTTGTTGTGTGTTGGGGGGGGGGTGTTCTTTAATTATTATGGTCCCCATCTGGCCAAGTAGCCTTAGGTACTTGATTACATATGATTGGATTGGGAATGGAGACCTTGCTCAAGGATGTCCAGTTGGCTTCTTCTCATGAGAACTGGGGGAAATACTAGTGATGGGACAATAGCATGGTAGTTGAAAAGAATATAATTTATATAGCTGTCAGGAGGTACATTGGAGTAACAAAATGTTACCTACATGATGAAATGATGAGTGAAAATAAGATGAGCTAGCAGAGTAGTGGTAACGAGAAATGGGCAAATCATGAGTGAAACAAATTGGCAGGAAAAAACTGAGAAACATTGGTGGTGGGACAGGACAACTAATATCATGGCTGTGAAGCTCCTTTAAATACAGAATTCTTACAGCAGTCCATTCCTTCTGAAGCATCCCATGGTTCCTCACCCTTAATTTCCATGAGTATTTCTCCCCTTTATTATGCCACATGAAATTCTTACACTATACTACTCATTCCTGAAGTTGAGTGGATTGGTGTACCACCTACCTTCGTATCTAAGAATTTAATATTTTCCTTGGAATTTTCTATTGTGAGTTTACAGAACTAAGATGAGGGATTACATGAAGACAACTTTGAACAATTAGACAGATTGTAAGAGTTAGCATAGCATGGCTATTTTCAGTTAGGGAAACAACATACTTTTACCTCTATTCATAGATGAGCTTTCTCAGCCATTGAATCATGAGGATGTATAACTCAGTATAGGGGGATGAAGAGGGGTGGATCATAGCTTAGCTTTAGTGTTTAAAGTAAATTTTATAAAAATCTTTGAGTCAAATGATTAAACAAAACTTCAATGAGCATCATTTTTATTTCCTTACAGTTTGTGAGTGACAGGATAAAAGTGTCAAAGGGTTATGCCTGCGCACATCATCCTAGGATGGCACCACCACCTCCCTAATAGCTCGATGGGAGTTGTAGAAGATCCAGAACTCCCCATGTGCCCTATTGCAAAAAAAAACAACCAAGCAAGAAAACCAAAGATTTGAAGGTGCAAGATATTTCAGCAAAGAAGAGACTAAGGTCTCACTAGTAGAGCGGTATGGGATATATTGCCCAAAGTGATCATTGACTAGGAGTTACACCCTGGTCTCAAAGGATGGACAAAGCAAGTGAGAACTAAAGTGAGGAATAATTCACCAATGGAAACTACTGGAAAGTGACTGCGGTGAGTGGACCAGTCACAGACACCTACCTGTCACAGACATTTCAGTGATGAGTCTTGTGAGGTCTCAAAGCACTGCATAAGACCAAAATCCCCTTCCTTCCCCATCATGAAATTAATCTGTTCTACAATTACACCCACTGAGAAGGCAAAGAGAAGTGGGAAGGGTAACACTTAATAGTCTAAATTGTAAACTGAAAAGACCAAGTGTTCTGCATTATAAGGGGGATGGAAGCTCTAAAACAAGATGAGGTCAGGTTAGAAATGAAATTATGTTTGACATTTCTGAGTGGCAGTGTGTGTAATATGAAAACTAATTCCTCATGCATGAGGAAAACCTTTCTTACTAGGCTCTGTTATGGTCTAAATAAACTGCTTTAGTCATGGAGACTGTGTGTGTGTGTGTGTGTGTGTGTGTGTGTGTTTTAGTGCATCTTGGGATATCCTTCTTGGTTTTAATTTACAGCTTGAACAAAGTAAGAACCAGGTGCTCCAACATTTGAAAAATAATCAACGTAATCCACCACATAAACAAGACAATTAGAACACCATGACCATACCAGTAAATACAGAAAAGGCATTTGACAATATCCAACATACATTCCTGATAGTATATATTCAGCAAAATAGAACTAAAAGGTAAATTCCTCAACGTAATAAGACTATATAAAACAAAACAAAATAAAAATGGCCAACATCACAATCAATGGGGAAAAATTGAAAACATTTTCCCTGAGGACTGTAACTAGACATGAATACCCTATCACCGGTCTTATTCAGCATCATGCTGGAAGTCTTAGCAAAAATCACTAGGCAAAAACAAAAAATTGAGGGACTATAATTGGGCAAAGAAGAATGGAAACTCTCACTATATGCAGATATTATTTTAGCTGTAGAATGCCCCAAAATCTCCACAAAAAGATTATCGGAAAAAATTGAGCAATTTGGTAAAATAGTAGAATAAAGATGAGCAAGCAGAAATAAATTGGATTTCTGTACACCAGCAAAGAGAGCTCTGAGAAGGACACCAAGAGAACAATAGCATGCACAATAGCCACACAAAAAATGAAATAGATAGAAAAATCCTAACCAATGATACAAAAGACCTATAAAGAAAACTACAGAACAAAGTGAGAAAGAAATTAAGAGATCCACACAAATGGAAGAATATTCATGCTAATAGATAAGAAGACTTAATATTGTGGAAATGTTAATACTATTTAAAGCAATCTATAATTGCAACACAATTTTGATCCAAATCCCAACTTCATTCTTTAAAGAAATGGAAAAATGTCATATGCTGAGGTTAAGAGACCTAGGATAGCGAAGGACTCCTTAAGAAGAAGGAAAGAGAAGGGCTCACATTATCTGACCTAAAAACCTATTATGTAATCACAACAGTCAAAACAACCCCGTACTGGCACAATGTTAGACACATAGACCAAGGAAACAGAATAGAAACCCCACAAATAAGTGCAACCGATCTTCAATAAAGGGCCAAAAAGCATTAAATGGGAGACATCTTGTTCAACAAATGGTGCTGGGGAAATTGGATTTCCATCTGCAGAAGAATGAAATAGTATCCATACCTCACCACATGTACACAAATAAACTCAGGATAGAGCAGAGACGTAAATATAAATCCCCAAACAGTGAAGATCGCCAATGACAAAATGCAGACAAACTTAATGGCCTTATTACAGGGCACACAAATACTAATAAATATAATAAAGGAAACGTGCACTGTAAAAGATAAAATAGATGACTGGAACCTACTAAAATTACAACAGTTATGTGCATAAAAAAGGTAAAAAGAGTGCCCATGGACTGGGGGGAAAAAATCTTTAGTGGCTACATAACAGAAAAGAGACTAATTACTAAAATCTATAGAATTCTACAATAACTCTATAAGAAAATTACAAATAATCCAGTTTTAAAAGTGGGCAAAGTACATGAAAAGAAAGCTCACCAAAAATTACATTCAAATAAACACATGGAAAAAATTATCAAAATCACTAGCCATCCACGATGTATGCCAAAAAGAAGTAGTCAGCATTCTTCCATTTTAGGAAGTAGCATATGAGTAAGAATGAATACTGAGGGAAAATGTCTAAGCTGCACTGAAGCATTAGGCAAAAACAATGGTCCAGCAACGGGTGGAATACCCACTGAGATGTTTCCACAAGCTGATGAAGCACTGGAAGCCCTCACTTGTCTGTGCCAGGAAATTTGGAAGACAGCTACTGGAAGAGATCCAGTACCAATTTGTACCCACTTCCAAAAAAGGTGACCCCAAAGAATGCTCAGACTATAAAACAATATCATATGCAAGTAAAATTTTACTGAAGATCATGCAATATTTACATCGTTGCAGTAATTGCAGCAGTACATTGACAGGGAGCTGCCAGAGGTTCAGGCCAGATTTGGAAGAGGACGCGGAACAACAGATATCATTGCTAACATCAGATGGATCTTGAATGAAAGCGATGTAAAGGAGATCAAAACTGGACCAACAGGTCCATGAGAAATGGAGAAAAGATTGAAGTAGTCAAGGATTTTGTCTTCCTTGGCTCTAAAATCAATGCTCATGGAAGCAGCATTGAAGAGATCAGATAATGCATTGCATTGGGTAAATCTGCTTCACAAGATTTCCACAGAATATTGAAAAGTAAAGTGGTTATTTTGAGGACTAAAGGGCACCTGACCCAAACTACGGTATTTCCCACTGCTTCCTATGCACGTGAAAGTTGGACAATGAATAAGAAAGACTGAAGAAGAATTGACATGATTGGATTGTGGTGCTGGAGAATATTGGAAGTACAATGGACTGCCCAAAGGACTAATGAGTCTGTCTTTGAAGAAATACAGCCAAACTGCTCCTTAGAGGTCAGCATGACAGGACTTCATCTTGTATACTTTGGACACGTTGCCAGGAAAGCGCAGTCCTTGGGAAAGGAGAAGAAGGGCCTCACAAGATGGATTGACACGGTGGTTTGCCGCAATGGACTCAGGCAAAGGAACAATTGTGAGGGTGGGGCAGGACTGGGCAGTGCTGCACATGAGGTCGCGAAGGGTCAGCACTGACTTGATGACACTTAACAGCAATAAACCACTTCGACACACGAGTCCTCACCTCAAGTGGTGTTGTTTTTCATAATGAGGGCAGAGGGAGAAGACCAACCATTTCCTGCAGATCACAGTGCAATGTATAACCAAACACTGTTGAGATCCTGGACACTGTATTG